TGAAACAGGCTAAAGTACCCGTCGATGACGACGATATCGAACCTCAAGTTTGTGTAATAGAGGTCAGCTGAGTGTTTTTATTACTGCACAACCAAATGGCCCTGCTGAGACGAAGGCTTTCCACTGATCGTATTTGTGACTGTTTGCAGTTAGGAGGCACTGTGGGAGACATCGAGAGTATGCCCTTCATCGAGGCCTTCAGGCAGTTCCAGTTTAAAGTGAAGAGAGAGAACTTCTGTAACATTCACGTCAGTTTAATACCACAGGTAAGAGAGCAACACCACATCTTCCTGCCTTTTATAAAGGAAATAAGTCAGCTGCTGTAGGAGAAGTCTTAGTGTGGTTTCTCATTAGAGACCAGCGCTCCGGATCCGAGTACGCATGACCCCAAAGCCCGGTTCATTGGATCAGCGTGAACACTGCACTCAAACCGGACTCGTGCAATGAGCCCGAGTCCGCTTAAAGAGCTGGTTTGGGCCACGATTCATGTGTGCTCAAACTATTTGTAAGGAAAATGTTACTGCCTCTATCTTTAACTTTTAAAATTGGGGTTAAAAGGTAGAGCCGTGAAGAAATGACTACTCAATGAATTGATAAGTCAGAGCAAACAGAACATTGTGGACGACATTTAATCAACCCCACTGATTGGACGAGAACCTTTTCAAAAAACAATACACTCTCCTCTAGCTTTAGGGAAACTGGACTATGTATTCTATTTTTTAATGTTTGAGATCAAAGAGCCGGTTTGTAATATATACCGTCAGTTTAAGATTTTTTTTTTTTTTTTGCAATGTCATCATTTTTCTGTGCAGCCCAGTGCAACAGGAGAGCAGAAGACCAAACCAACCCAGAACAGTGTCAGAGAGCTGAGAGGACTGGGTCTGTCCCCTGATCTGGTGAGTCACCTGCCGTCCTCACTCATTAGTAAACGCTCCCTTATTCTGTGTGTGTGACTTTGCATGTCACCTTTTTTTTTTAATGCGTTTTTTTTTTTTTTTTTAGCAATATCAGAACTTAAAGTTGTAAACTCTACCTGTGGAGGGTTATGAGGTCATTTTGAAAGGGGGTCTTAATTGATCTGTCATCTCTGCCCTCAGATCATGTGTCGCTGCTCCACGGCTCTGGAGAACTCTGTCAAAGAAAAGATCTCAATGTTCTGCCATGTAGAACCTGAACAGGTACGTTACCGACTCCCTGTCTCGTCATCTTTTGAGTAAGCTGAGCCCAAACCCTCGAAGCGACTCCAAACTCACTGACGTGTCTTTCCCAGGTCATCTGTGTGCACGACGTCTCCTCCATCTACAGAGTCCCGTTACTGCTGGAGAATCAGGGTGTGGTGGGATACCTGAGCAGGAGACTCAACATGCCCATAGAGACCCGGCCCCGGAGAATGCTGACCAAGTGGAAGGAGATGTCCGACAGGTGAGAGCAAAGATAGAAAACCGAGCTTCAGCGTTCTCTCCTGCCCTTTGTGTGATCTGCACATACTAATAGATATTCTGTCCTCGCAGGTCGGACCGGCTGCTGGAGCACTGCTCTATAGCGCTGGTGGGGAAGTACACAAAGTTTTCAGACTCCTACGCTTCAGTCATCAAAGCTCTGGAGCACTCCGCCCTCGCCATCAGCCATAAATTAGAGGTCAAGGTATGAAGACATGGAGCGTCAGTGCTTAATATCATGTTCTAACAATGTTTCACAAAATGTTATTGTGCACAACAATACAAGCTTTAGAGCTGACTTAAGTATATCCGCCAAACATTTTTTGAATACTCCTTTTTACCATGTAAAATCGACTTCAAAATTCGATCACCTAGCGGACGATATGCACTCAGCGTCTACTGCTTTAGCTCGTGTAGCTGATAGTTTCTGTATGTGATCAGAGCTGATCACACATTTTTCTGTCTTTTTCATCATTATATCTGTTGCTAATCACATCCCTGAAGTAAGCACTACAGAGATGTAAAAACGGTCTTTGTTTGTAGAAGTCGATATGAGATTTCAGGGGAGTTGCGGACAGAAAATAGGATAGCTCTTTCTTTTGTTTGGAGAAAAGCAGGATGATGAAGTTTTGTGAGGCCGGCAGAGATCACAACTTGTTTTTTCATTAAGTATTCACAAACAAGCAAACCGGGAAAGAAGCTCATAATCCAGCCATCAAGTCTTACCAGTCGTACAGTAAATATGTAATACTTGATTGATTACCTTTAACTCTTTAGACCTCCCCTTTAAGGTCTTTGTGTCTCTCCTCCTCAGTATATAGACTCTGCGAATTTGGAGCCCAGCACTCTGCAGGAGGAACCAGTCAAATATCATGAAGCGTGGCAGAAGCTCTGCAGTGCTGAGTGAGTGCTGGTGCACTTTCTTCTTTTAAAAGGTAAAACATCTTTATGATATTGTTGTTTAATGAACTGTCTCCCACCCTCATCTGTCCACAGTGGCATCCTGGTTCCTGGAGGTTTTGGTGTAAGAGGAACTGAAGGAAAGATTCATGCCATCAAGTGGGCCAGAAAACAGAAGAAGCCTTTTCTAGGTACATGAGCTTACCTTGTGCTGAATGCTGTGATCTCTTCTTCCGATATTGTCATGTTGAAACGAACAACTGCATCAGTGAAAGTGAACGCACCACTCTTCTGGTGTCTTGTCTCTGCAGGTGTGTGTCTGGGAATGCAGCTGGCTGTGTGTGAATTTGCCAGGAACGTGCTCGGCTGGGAAGGTAACATGAATTCTCCTACATTGTAGAAGTGAACCGGTTCATTGTTTTGTATTTGTATATTAAAAATCTACTTACAGAACAGCAGAAATCAATCAACACCAAAGAGAGAGTCATTTACTGTTACTAGTTACGGAAAAAATAAGAGTAAAACTACACAACACTTAAACTGTGTTGAAGTTGGAGCTGAATCAGAGCGTTACTTGAACCATGCAAGCACAACTATCTGTTAATTACATATGCACGCCAAAATATCTAGATAATTTCAGGACTGCTCAGGATATTCTCCTTCAGTGACGACCTCAAAGTACACTAGACATTAAACTTTTCATGTTGTTGCCTTTTTTTTTTTCTTTCATCAGATGCCAACTCAACTGAATTCCACCCAGAATCAAAACACCCTGTGGTAAGTCATTTTTGATTCAGTATAAGACTTTGTAGTGTTTAGTCCTGAGATGAGTTTTGTCCTGAGATTTTAACGTTTGATCTTTTGCAGGTCATCGATATGCCAGAACACAACCCGGGACAGATGGGCGGGACTATGAGGCTCGGAAAGAGACGGACCATTTTCAAGACAACAAACAGCGTAATACGTAAGTGTACCATGAAAACTTTAAAGAGCATTATCGATGTACCTGCCTTGTGCTCAGCTGTTTTTGTATTCCAGGCAGACTTTATGGAGATGCAGAGTATGTGGATGAAAGGCACAGACATCGCTTTGAGGTTTGTTTACCTCTCTGTTTTATCAGGAGCAGCGTACCAAGGCTTTGACCGTTTTTTTTTTTTTTAAATTTCTTATCTTTAAATGTTTTTATTTTGTTCATGTCCAGGTCAATCCTGAGCTCACGAGTCACTTTGAGGAGAAGGGCTTCCGTTTCGTAGGTCAAGACGTTGAAGGGGAGAGAATGGAGGTCATAGAGCTGGATGGTACGAAACATTCAACTCTTTAAGTTCATATCAACTCTTATTTTAAAATGTCATCCTGGTGTTTTAAACCCGGGTCTGATATTTTCCAGTCACTCGAGTAGATTACTCCAGCTAGCTGCTGATAATCAGGCTGAAGTGAAATTAAAGTCCCATCAAATGATATTTGGCTGCAGGGGTTACATTGCAAAATAATAATGGTTTCAGAAATTAACTCTTGGTGCTCAAGTTCTTTAAAAAAAAAAATTGTTTTTTCCAGATCATCCTTACTTTGTCGGAGTGCAGTACCATCCTGAGTTCACCTCTCGACCCATCAAGCCATCACCCCCCTATTTCGGTTTGCTGCTCGCTGCTGCCGGAAAGTTACAGAGCTACTTACAGAAGGGCTGCCGTCTTTCTCCAAGGTAACTATACAGCGTTATATCACATGTCTGAGTTAGTTTAAAGATGGTCTTATCAGATCTGATGTTTGAATTCAGTTTTTTTTTTTACACAGGGATACCTACAGCGATCAGAGCGGCACCAGCACCCCGGACTCTGAGATATCAGAGCTGAAATTACCTTCAATCTCCAGCGAATGACTCGGGCCTTCAAAGTTTCTTAGTACATTTTACCAATGAACCTCAACGTTACATGTATTTACTGCTTCAAATATATTTTAGGGACTACGTGAAACCTTTTTCTGTCTTGAACAAAAACAACTATAAACTTCAATTACCTTCCCATTTTGGTTTCCAATATTATTTCTTTTTAAATTGTTTCCTCAACAAGTCAATCATGTCAACATCAGGAAAATTTAACTTCTCCAGTGTTTAAAACCACAACACTGAAAGCTGCTATCACTGCTCTGGATGAAGTGTTACATTAGAAATTTACTGTTAAAGCTTGATAGTTGAGCAATTTGGAGACTGTATTTTGCCCCTTCAATAAAACTAATCGGTGTTGTATTATGTCATGGTAAAGCCTGATTAGTCACCTCTTCAAAGGAATAAGATGTCAGGATCTTACATTATTGGAATGAGCAACACAACTGTGTGTAGCACCCAAATAGAGTGACAAAATCCCCTCCTGTTTAAGCATAAGGTGCTGCCAGGTGTGTGATTGGGACCAGCACCTGCTTATGGACCTTCCATACACTACAGTCCCCCACACTACAAAATGGCCAATTTGTGTTTTCTCTTCATTGGTGAGTCCAACTGACATGCTTAGCTGTGTTGCTCAGTCTTTCAAATGTTCCCACATACTCAAAGCTGTAGTTATACATGTTTCTGAACCCAGCATTGTGGCCTTGCTGTAAATATGCATCACAACAATGGGCTGCAGTTACCTCTTTTATGAATCAAGTGTGAATAAAAAGGAGTCCAAATATAGAGAGTTTGTGTTTTATTTTATTGAATGTACAGTGAACAGTCTTCATTCTTATAACAATTGACATCTCATGAGCACATCATCTTTCCACTCGATGTGGATGGCCTTCAGTGGTGAACCTGGGGCAGACGGTCTCCTCCCCCATCATGTTACTGGACCTGAAATGAAGGGAACCTTAATTAGTGCTATTCCAAATCAGTTTCTCAACATGAATTACAGGGCTGATCTCAGTCCCATATCCGCAAGCTTCATCCAACAGTCCTCATTGTGTTATGTTATCATCATGGATCAGGAAAAAACAAAACACATTGAAGATAAACAGTTTTACATACCTGCACAAGCCAGGGACACACGAGCACATTCAGCTCGCCCAGACAGAAGATCAGTTGATCTCACTCATGCCTACAGGAGAAGAAAAGACATTTCAGGTCCCATGGCATACCTTATATCATTTACTGCTGCATTAACAAACACAACTGTCGGACAGTTGAGTGGCTGCTTATGGCACAAGAGGCCACAGCAGTCAAAGACCACCCTATTTTCTTGCACACATTTGGAGAACCGTGGGCTACAACACAAGCCCGGGTCCTTAGGATAGCGTGCTTGTAAGTCAAATACTATTAAATAAAAATAGTTACCTTAACAGCAGACAGACGACATTCGGCGGTCACACTTCGTGGTCAGCCTGGAGGATCACCTAGCAGGCGAAATAAAGATTCATGAAAATGGGTTTTTGCAAATCTTATCCCACTCATTTTTTTCCCCTTAATGCAATTTGGTGGCTCAGTTATAAATGTCTCAATCAAGCCTTAACTCAGTGAGGGCAAGTTTGTCATCACAGCCAGAACAAGTTCTCCAATTTTAGTCTGAGGAAGTTACCTTCACATGATGCGGCCTTTTCTTTTTTTCCACCTTCCATCTCCATGTGACACCTGCAAGATACAGAAAATGGTTTAGACAAAAAGGTAACGATTTTTTGTAAGCGGCTTTAGTAAATCAGTATTCCTTCAAGTTTGTCCTTCCCCTTAATGTTGCTTGAGCAGTTATTTTCAAACTGAACAGCGACCGTCGGTGAAAGTGATGATCTCGGCTACCTGTTGACCGCTCACTGCTACAGCAGAGCACGAACGGCTTCGATAGGAGCCTGAGGTAAGGAAACTTACAGGGGAAGAAAACTCAACATACCTGTGTGCGGTGCAGACACCCATGGTAGGAGATCCTCGGAAATACTAGTCGGCCCTGTAAGTATGAAGAGAACTTTAAATGCATGCTCTTGAAGCCAAAATATCAAAATCAGTACAAAATTATAACAAGGACTTCGACTTTAAAATACACCATGATCCGTTTAGTTCTGAAAGAGGTGATTTTACTCTTCAGGTTGTGGGTCAAGCAACCCTTCTCATTAAATATTGGGGGCACAAAAAGGGGAAAACCTGCTTTGTAGATTAAAGAAACGATCAATCCTGTATCGTATTGCAAGCAATGACTTGCAGAGGATCGACCCACGTGGATCACTTAGCATTAGCATTTAGCTCATGTGAAATTACAACGTTTCGCCCCACGTGTTGTTCTTCTTAAGTTACAAGATTCACTTGAAAATACAAAAGGCTACCAAATGATGTTAAAACTGATTTAAAAAAGTGCCAAGGAGTATAAACTCGAGCCACATTGCTAGTAGAAACCGGAGATAACGTTAGCATGTTTAACCCTTAACTAGTAAATAGCGTGATCTGTAGTTCTATACAAGTCTTCTCGACGTGGAAATGTTATCATGTCACGTTATAAAAACACACTTAACTATAATAAATGAAAAGATCAAACGTCAGGGCCTTACCAAAGTCTTTCTGGAGTACAGCTTTCTTGCGGAGGTCTTGAGGAGGAAGAGATAGAAAGTAGAGTTCCGTGCTCTTTTATATACGCTCACGCCGAGCAAGCAGGTCGCCGATTGGCTGATATCGACCAAGTGCATGATGGGAAATGTATTTTTTTAAACACGTTATACTAATCGTGCTCCCTTTAGGGTTATTGGCACAGAGAAGGGTACCAGCAACAACTGAGATGTTTTTAAAATTCAACAAAGACATTTTGTTTTCTCTTAGAGAGACGACTGCAGTGTTTGTATCATGGTTTGTATGCGAATACATGTAGAGAGAAAGAGAAAGAGACCGGAAGTAGCCCGTCAAATGTGGCTCTGCTTGCTTCAGAACCACGGACAGCAGCACTGCCTTCACATATTGATCTTTTGGCTCGTAATAACGACTGTGCAAGTGTGTCGTGTTACAGATGGACAGCTGTGGGCATGCAGTTTTTAATTAAACGTCAAGTGAAGTGAAATAATCTGTAGGAATGTCACACAAAGTTGCCAAAAAAAAAAAAAAAATCCTCTTGGTGCAAGTGTCACTTTGACGTTGAAATTCCTCCTGCGAGTATAGGAGGCTACAGATAGCCCAAGCAGCTGACTTGAGGCTTAGTAGGTTACCATAAGATACGGCCATAATTTACATTTTTTGTTTTTTCTCTCGTGGTCAAACAGCGGCGTATCTCTGAGTTTGAAGTGCAATTGTCTCATTCACGTCTGCAGCAGCAGCAGCAGCAGCAGCTAGGTTTGTAGTTGTAGTCAAATGTCATGTGTAGTAGTGCATAGGTAAATCTATCACATGATCGCTCAGCGTCTCTGAGCAGAAGGCAGCAGCAGCAGCAGCAGGAGAAGCAGGAGCAGCAGGAGCAGGAGGAGCGGGGCTTCATGTAAACACACCGCGCACAGGGCTTTGTTTCACACACACACACACACACACACACACACACTCGTCGCAGGCATCCCCGTTCTTCTAGTCATGCCATGGATATTTTGTGGCAATACCAGTTCAGGATAATTTTACTCGGGGACTCCACGGTGGGCAAGTCGTCGTTGCTGAAGCGCTTCACGGACGGAATTTACAGCGATGTGGCGGATCCGACGGTCGGGGTAGATTTTTATGCCCGCTCGCTTGATGTCGAGCCCGGGGTGAAAATAAAGCTCCAGCTCTGGGACACTGCTGGCCAGGAACGATTCAGGTAAATCATAAAATTAGCCTCAATGTATGATCTCCAAAAATTGAATGTGGCGACCAATCCTTCACCGAGGTGATTTAAATAATGTAGAGGCCTTTGCTCGCTGTCGTGTTTGGCTCATGTAAAAAGAAACCCTTTAAATTAAATTAAGGCTATTCCCCCCCCTCTCCTCCTCCCTCGTTGTGATGTAATGAAGTGAGTGTGGACAGTGGGGGGGAAAGAAGATTATATTGGCCTCGATCTGCCGATGCCCTCGCCCTTATAATAACAGCGAAAATGGAGTTGCATCATTGCATTCATTCACGGGTGGATGATGGGCAGCCTCCTCATGTTTAGGCCTCAGATTGAGATACTGACTCAACAGTCTCCAGGGCAACACAAATATGACAACCATGTCCTCAGATCTCAGTGTTTAGCATTCGTCTAGCCTACCCTGTTGCTTGTTCTGTTTCATGATGTGTCCCCGGCTGTCATGGGTAATTTTCCTGTGTCTGGAAGAAGCAGCTCTTCTGCTTTCAGATCTGCTTTTCTCGTTTGAAGCCAAAGCATCAGAGGGTGTTTTCCTGTCACAGGCTTCACCACATAAGACTTGTACTTCTTCTCTGAGAGTGGTTTGTGAAATCAGTCAGCTTTATTCAAAGAAAAAAATAAAAAAAAAATAAACCTGTGCACTGCAATGTCTAAAGCAGAAATCATGCCAGATCATTGCCATGCTTGGTGTAGCGGGGCAACAAATCCAGGGTCTGTGACATTTTAGGGCCCAAAATCTATTACATTTTTTTCAACCATAGCCAGTTTGTTGAAATGCAAATTGCCTAGTATTTTTTTTTTTTTGCATTCTAATTCGACGTTCCATACCATCACTTATCTGCGTATGGACAAATGTTCTGAGTGAAGGAAGTTTAGTATTTTTGTTCTAGCCATCTTGGAAGTGACCATATTGAGAACAGAAGGTCAGAAGGTCAAAAGGTCTTGGTTATCATTGAAAGGTCCGGGTGGGGGGGAGCATAATTTCCTAAATGAACATCATACTGTAATGGAGAAGATTTTAACATTGGGAATGAGATACATGAGCGGATCAGGAAACTTTATGAAGTAATTATTAAAATTGATAATAGGCTACTGGAGCACTGATGGCCCCATGTACAGAGGAACGTCCTCCATACAAGCAGGCGGCCCGGGTTTGGGTCTTTAACCTCATTCGCCACTCTCTCCCCTGGTTACCTACTCATCCTACTGTCCTATCAAATTAAGCAAACAAGCCAGAAATCTTTCAAAAGGAAATAGACATCTTTTTTATGGGCTTTTATGCAATAGATTTTTTTGCAACCAATTTAGTCGCCCCCCCTTGCCGACCTTTAGAAAGAATGCTGGTTTAAAGTGCATGCAGCATTTTTACTGCACAATTCAAAGAAGCTATACTTTGACTTTTTGTATTATAGTCTATGTTTTTGCCACGTTTCAGGGCCTTTTTTGTTACCATGTGTTATATTCTAGTGTAATATTTTGTGTTTTACATGATGCCTACACATTTAAACGTGCCCCAGAAACAGAGCAGAACCACTTTACAATTTGGACGTTAAATTCCAATCAAATTGATGTCATTCATGCATTTTGGCTTTTTGGCATTTGGCATTTTGAGTTTTTTCTTCGGCATTCCTTCAACTCACTCTATTACAAGTTCATCCAACCAAAATTGCATTGTTTTGAGTTTATGCTGCTGTAGTACGCCAGATTGCAGCAGTTATGTGTCTCGCTAGATACGTTAAAACTGCAACTCTTTGGGGACAGGTTAGCTGTGCTTAACAAGCACTCTGATGCTGGACAGAATGCAATGGTTGGTGTCTAATCTTAGATATCATTGGCTCGAGCTAAGCTGGGCCTGACCTATCAAACAGGTGATCAAACTCGGCACTGGTCAGCATCATGTAGCTGTAAGCGGCCGTAAAGTTGATTTAAACAGAGCTATGTGAGCCTCATGGGGACATGATAGTGTTTTGTTATTAAAGAATTACCATGTTGGGCTTGACTACCACAAATAACCAAAATGAAGAATCATTGTTAAACTGGAATGGGTAACTTGAGGTTGTTTTATTGACGTTAGTTTTGCCTGAAGATTTAAAAACTTCCTTTCCCAAGACTTAAGCGTTCATTTATCTACTCAACAGGTCCATCACGACATCATACTACCGTAACTCCGTGGGTGGGCTGCTCGTCTTCGATCTCACCAACAGGAAGACCTTCGACCATGTGAAGGAGTGGCACAAGGAGGTGAGTGAGCACATCCTGCCTCACCACATGGTCTACATCCTCATCGGCCACAAGAGCGACCTCAACAAAGACCGCAAGGTGAGCCGGGACGAGGCGGAGCAGCTGGCGGCCGAGCTCGGCATCCGCTACGTGGAGACGTCGGCCAAGTGCAACAGCAACGTGGACCGAGCCTTCGAGCTGCTGACCAGGGACATCTACGAGCTGATGAAGATGGGGGAGATTGTCACCCGCGACGGATGGGATGGCGTGAAGAGCGGCCTCACTGCCAAGGTCCTCTACCCGGAGGACGAAGAGGAGCTGGCCGCCGCGACGGCTGAAAAGGGCTGCCACTGCTGACTTAGAACTCTCTGAGTCCAAACACTGTCTTCTTGTCACACCAAGAGCTCACCTCGTCTCACAGCCGTCCATCCAAACCAAGTCTCTCAGGCTTAGCACCCTGAAATCACCATCCATCACCCCCTCACCTTGTGCTCCGTGCCCTTTCTGTGTTCAGGTTCTTATGACAACTGGAGTTTTATCTAAGACGAGGGTTGTACACCCCGATGTGTATCTTTTAGGCAAGTTGTATCTCTAAATCCACATGGTGTAGCATGAAACAGCCTGTTTGAGACCATAGGTTCAGAAAGCTGTATGTGGCCAATACTCCTTTACACAGCCCGTGGGGTTAATGGACTTCTGAGCATACTGAAGGTACAGAGAAATCAATGGACTGAGCCGTCCTGTTGTCTGGCATCTATTGTGGGTTTCTACCTGTCAAAGTGGTGTGCGATGCTTTTCCTGCAATCGTTTGTGACTGTAAAACTGTAAATAATAGTGAAATCTATAGAGATAAAAGCTGAAAGGTCACAGAAAAGTTATTTAAATGATGATGTGAACAGACACAGTGCACTATTCAATACGTGTCACCATGTTAATCAATGTGCTACTGTAAGCTGTATGTGCACTGACGCCAAACTGACTGCGATCATTCTGCGAATAGATGATTCATGTTTTCGTAAAGAATATAGATAATTCTAGTTTAGGTGTATACACAGAAATAGGCCATTGTTATGAAGGTAGACAGTCCAGTCTAGGTCATTGTGTGATAGCATCAACAGGAGCAAGACATCCAGCGTGTCAGCCGTCGATCAGTCTGAATTTCACCTTGCAGCTGTTTGTGTCTTAGACAAACAGCAGCGTCTTTTGTTCTCAATTCACAAAAGTAATATTCCATTCAGACCTGAGCTGATGCCAACTCATTAAATCCAGTCGTGTAGATATGTGCTGCTTTGGTGGGCCTCTCTTTTATGCTGTGTTCAAGAATGTCAGTAGAAAAAAAAAAAACTCGGAGTTTTAATTCAGCAGGAAGGCAGGCTTTCAAGTGCAAAATCATGCAAAAGCTATGAAGTATTTATTTTACAGTCCTTCAAATCCACTAGAGTCTCAGCAGACCAGTGCTTTGAAGCTCAGCACCCGGGATTAGGTTTTTGGGTGTGTCACATGTCATCGCCCCCTCTCATTAGTGCCTCCTGTTGCACATTTCTGCCTGACAAAAGTGCTTGTTTTGATCTCTAAAGAAAAGTCAGACATTTGAGGGGAACAAGCCTTTTTGCTTGCTTCTGAAGAGTTAGATGAGAAATTTGTGACCGCCCCTAAAGCTAGAGGTAATAAAGACGCCTTAGCATTAAGACTAAAAGCTGGGGTAAACTGCAAGTCTGACTCCCTCCATAGATTAGAAATGCACCCAACTGCAAGCTAGTAGTATTATTTGATTCTGCATATTTACATTTTTCCCTGTAAAAAAAACAAAAAAACAGCACAGCATTGAGGACAGTGGGTATTGATTTGGTTTATTGTATCCTACAGTGCTGAAGTGTGTTTTCTGCTCACATCTCCTGCTTATTTTTATCTTTTTTTGCCGTCCAATATGTGAATGTTCTGATTGGAAATCTTGAAAATAGTTCTAAAAAAGGGGCGGGATGTTAAATTGGTTAGCACACACAGGAGGGGATGCTTAACTGCTAACTCGCGCACAGTCCGTAGTTTGCAGAATATAAAATTAGTGATTGCCCAAACAGTGCAGGATAAGTCATAATCATTTTAATGTCCCAACATGCTGTTAAAAACCACTTACAGGACAACTTTCTTGACATTGCCGAGCCAGATGCTTGAAATTAACCGGTGGCCAATGCAAGAAATATTTGATTAAACAATCTAAACATCTGTTTTGATTTTATTGAAGCTTTAAAATGCTGAAATATTCACTTTGCACTGCGTCTGGCTAGCTGCTTCCAGCCTGGCAAAGCTTTGCTCTTCCTCCGCCGTGTCAAGCTCCACCTTTAACGCACGATTATGAGAGTGCTTTTACCTAAATATTATGAACAAGGGTTGTTGCTGAGATGTTAAACTTTATTCTAAGGCTGTCAAAACTCTATCCAGGATATTAATTTGCGTATAATAAATTGATAAAGAACACTTGATGAAAAAAATGCCATTGACTTCAGTTTTTACATGGGTGAGGTTATTTTTGAGATTCTAATATCAGCTGTAATGGAGCCTGTGAGGTTGAGTCTCAAACCTACAGCAGTTGTTCTACCTCTGACACAGAGGATTTCAAGTCTCTGGAGGCTTTTGACTTGAGACACCGGTAATCTGTTGTTTACAGTACGCTAAAGTTCACGTTGCAAGGGAACCCACTTCCTGTCACATTGCTTATATTCACCTTTCACCAGCATCTCATGAAAAAAAAAAAAAAACAAGTTCACACACAAGTCAACAGCAAGAGATTATGCATTTACATTTTTACTTTTTCATTCATGTGACCAGACTGACATTTTCCTTGAGCTGATTGGCTATTTAGGTGATCCACAGGATGTACTGTACAGTATTGCTGCTTTGTATTTGATAAGGAATGTATTCTTATACATTTGCACCATCCCTTTATTCTTACTTTTCAGTGTAGATTCAAACTTAATGCTTCCTGTTAAAGCTAGGTTTACTCATTTTATACAACAACAAATAGCCTACACTCAATGTTTTCTGTTTGTCTGACAATCAGATGTTAACATTTCGTTTCCTTAACACAGGAGTGCTCTAATCGGCCTCGCTAAATGTAATGTTCAAAATCGCCATTCTAATCGTTCATCAAGTCCAACTGTGTTACTACTAAGACTGCCTTTCGGCTCTCATCTAAACAGGGTTAACTTGTATATTGTTTGAATATGTGCGTCATCGCTGTGCTGTTTGCAAACTGTTCTCCAGTGAGCATGATTTCCATTCCTCAGCGCTGCCTGCACACCGGAGGGGCTTGTTGCAGCACACAGCCTGAAGATGGAGGACCGCTGGAAATCCAATTTTAAGGACAACACGAAAAGACAGCAAGATATTGTTTTTTTTAATGACTGACTCTATGAGAGGAAATATTATAACTCGGCGTCTATACCATACCTAGATGCCTGTATATCCACCAGTGTTAAGCAGTTGATGAATTTAAACAACATCTCACAGCAGCGTTTTTTTTTTTTATTCTTACAGACTATAATCCTGCAAACAGAAACCATCCTGTGTAATGATGATACAAATTCATGGCCTTTATCCAACATCTTGCTTACTGAAGTAGTTCAATATTTTTGAAATGCACCTTTTTTTTTTTTTTGGTTTGATGAAAGAATTGGATCAGAATAAAAAAAATGAAAATAGAATTTCTAACTACAAAACTGGAGCCAGGATGCAACTGTCCTTAGGTTAAAGACTGGAAGGAGCGGGAATCTTCTTTTGAGATCCACTTTGCTCTTACCTTTGATATTAAAGGAGTAGTTCAACATTTGTAAAATTGACACCATTCTCAAGTGAAGTACAGAACTGGAGCCAGGAAGCCATTAGCCTAGCTTAGCGTTAAGACTGCGAGAGAGAAAGGGAAAAACGCAAACCTGGTTCCACGTTGATTTCAAAATAGCAACACCTGTTAAATTTGCAATTTCCGATGTATCCTTTTTGTTCAAAACAAGCAAAGTAAAGACCAGGTTGCTTCATGTCACATGCTGGAATAATTTATTGATGACTCACTGAGGGGTGCAGTGACACCCACAGTGAGGTGTGAATTTGTTAAGAAGGAAAAATAAACCCTGTGCTGTTCAACAGCATAGTGCGGGATTCTGCACAGAAGAGGGGAGTTATGATGTATTGTTGTCAGAAAAAAAATGTCCTCAGCAAACACCCCTTAAAGTCACAAGTCTGTTTTTACATTTCTGTATGTCTGTACACATCAAAGAAACAAAATGCACTGCGTTATCAGCATGCTTAGGAGTGTTTTGGACATTTAAAAAGTACAACGGACAGAATCAGATACCTCCTTTTAGCCTCAATGCTAGCTTGGTTAACATTGAAAGCAGATCTTACATTTTCCAAAGTGTTGAACTATGCCTTTAGTGGTTTTTTATATTATTATTATTTAGAATGAAATCAAACTAATCCACTAATAATGCTCCTGTTCAAGGTTACAAATGCAGATGTAAGGCCTGCATGACAGTGCATAGCACAAAACCATTCAGCCCCTGATCCCCATGGCCACATCTCACAGCTTTATTGAATAAATGTTATTTATTTTAGATATTATGTATAAGGTGTTTGCCTTTCATTTGGTGTGTTTTATTGATTGGTTAAAAAAAATAAATAGATGTCAAATGAACATGGTTTGGACTCAATGATTTTTAACTGGGATTTGGCGCCCTCTTCAGACAAATTGAAGGATGATAAGCATGACCTACATTGCCTTGTTAAACGCAATGATGGGGAAATATGGGTTAAGGGGTTGATATGAATCAAGTCAAGCCCACTACACCAGCTTTTATCTGAAACAAGATAGTATAGATACGTGATGATACAATCAGGTTCAAAATGCAACAAAAAAAGACAGAAAAACAACAATTAAACAGTTTATATCAGCTGGAGGTTTAAGATAAGTCACAGCTTTTGACAAATTTAAATGTCTGCTGTAGCTTTAGAGGAATAGAGAAAATAATTCATGTTTGGATACGAAAAAATAGATTTTCTTTTGTTGTCATTTATATGAACTTTACTTTATTTGACCTCATTATCTTATCTGAGAATTTAGATATTCCAACCTAAAAGCAACAAACACAAACACTCTGCTTAGAATGACACTTATGCTATATATACAGCATCAAAGCAGAGTTAAGTTTTGAATAATATATGTTTTTTTCTGCCCATAAAATCCTGAAAAATTAAAACATTCAAATTGAATTAAAAAAAAATCCTGATATTCTTATCTGCAATTGTCCTGAGTCTTTACCATGAATTGAGAAAGGCGTACGTGAAACCGTATTAACAGAAAAACTTGTAAATTAAAAACATCTGTCAATCCACCAACAACAAAAAATACATAAAAAAAAAAAATGTCTCAGTGTTCGTTGATTTTCCAATCTTACTTGAACGTAACACTATTTGTTAGACGCGATAGCAACCAATAAGAGCTCACTGATGATTGATAGTCCCGCCCACTTTTACCCATCATTCTTTGCGACCATTTAATTGACGCACAAAAATGAGCTAAATGTCGTTAATAGTCGATTAAAAGCTACATATTTCAATCATTAGTTGTTGGTGAAGATGCATATTAAAGGTCGAACTTCAAACGAACTGAAACACTGAGGCAGTTTTAGGTTTTCCAACCTCTGAGTGAGGGACATGTTGGTACTGCTTATGTAGTGGGACGTTCAAAGAGTTCGTTAAAAAGGGCTTCTGCCATGCCTGGCACTGGGAGGGTGGGGAAATCCACTCCTCCAGCGGAATCGCCATCAAGAGATTTCGGAAGCATAATTTTTAACACAGGGGCTGCCAGTGGTCGCTCACCCTGGCGCCCCGCACCTACAATGTACAAAGAAAATTAATCTATTATAAACATAAATGCAAAGCAGTGCTACCTGCGTTCATCATTCTCTGCAGAATTCGTAATTTTAATGCATGCATTTCTGTGCTTCACGTACTCAAACCTAGATGTCAGACTGCGTGAACGTATATGAAGCTATAATGCCAAGACAACTGTACAATTAAACTGCACAATCCTCTTTCCACTTCACGTTTTTAAGATGTCTATTTATATCTACCATGTCAACAGTTCGGATACAAACACTGTCGGAAGAACAAGATGTTCTCGATAAAGCACAACATCAACAGAAAGTGTGACTGGGTTTCTCCCCAGTCTTGCACACAAACGCATTAAAAGCCAAAACAAGTTTCAGATGAATTTTGTCAGGGTTTTTAAAACAAGAGCGGTGATAATAGTGCGAGCGCTGTTCAGCAGGAAGTCAAGCCATATCAGCGAAGTACGCATGCGCCACAGCCCTGCACAATCTAGGGCTGCGTTTCTCCTCATAAAACGGTAAGGGCTATCTTTCATTTCAACATGTGTTTTTTAACATACTCGTCCGTGAAAAACGCAGCCGCTCTTACGACATTAATGATAGCTTTAGACGGGGGTTTCGGGGGGTAAATAGCGGAGAGAGAGGAGGAGGGTGGGGAGGGGAGGGAGCTCGGCCAGCCAGGCTCGCAGAGAATGGAGGGGCAACGCCGTCGCCGCCGCGCCGTTGTTTGCTGTACGTGCCGCCGCACAGGGAGACGTCATTTTGAGGGGGAGCGGAGAGTTAAAATGCAGAGTTACGAAGGGACGTACGGTTCAGAGACAAGCGGGCACGTAACCGTCACGGTGAAAATGCAAAGCTTTAACCGTCTCGGTCGGTATAGTTCACAATATTGTCCACTTTCCCCGCACATCATGTAACGCCCTTGCGTGAGCCGTAATGGCTACCGCCGACTCTAGTGTGAGTGGCTGTGTGGATCTCAGCAGAGAAAAGCAGTCAGTTATCCACTGCGACCGTAATATCACATCTAACTTGGGCATCTTGCGCTCTTTTTTTTTATTTTATCGGCTACAACTGAGGCAACTACGTGAGAGTTACGGTGCATTACAGTCCTCCTGTCAGTTTTCATCCTCTTGGATCGTTTTCTGTATGCTGGGGGGGAAAATCTCACTCACGTCATCTCTGGCTCTAAATTACAATATTAATCTAAAGTTGGACGGGTTATGGTAGTTCACTATTAATTATGATTGATTTTTAAATTTTATTCTTATACACCATGACACGTAAAAACTAATTTCCGTTTTTTTTTTTTTTTTTTAAATGAACTTTGTAACTATTATTAACTCCATACTTTCAATTAACAAATTGTTATATTCAGGCTCATTTCTGTACGGAGGCCGATAAGGGCCAGGCAGGAGAAATGATTATTGAGAGGTGGAAGATTTTTTTATTTCATTGTGCACTTCAAGAAAAGAAAAGTGGAAATGTAAATATAAAATTGAAATACAATTTGGGGATTGAAGTCAAAATTTCACAGTCATATTTTCTCTAAAATCTCGACATTAGACCTTTTTTTTTTTTTTTACTGATATTTTGACTTCATTCTCAACATTGTATTTTTTTGTATCTTTTTTTTTTAGACATTCAAAATGTATAAATATAAATTGTATTTCAAATTTATTCTGACATTTAAACTTTTCTTCTTGACACTTCGACTTTATTCCCAACATTTTGACTTTTCCCCCGAATGTTTCTAACATATTCTTGACATTTTTACTTTTTTTCCTGAAAAAAAAACCTTAATAATTAGCAAACATTAGCAACTTTTGTGACTTTTTATTAACAGACTTAACTGTGTTAGCTTTTAGCTAACCAGTGTTTGTAGCTTTTAGATAACCAGCTTAATGGTAGAAAAAACACGCTCAACTCCCTTTCAACGTAAAACAACTGAGTGCTGAAGAAAAACAATTAGGACAGCACTCCAAAATTGTACTTAACCTATTTTGGACAAGTATAAATTAGTCCCACATGTGTATATACAAATAAATTACCTTTTACACGCTGAAGAAGAGTGACTGCTCGAAACGTCCTAGTTGCAATTAAAATACAATATTGGAGTTTTGTTTTTCTTAGCTAGTTAGCGAGCTCTACTTATGCTAGGTGATGAATGCTAGGTTTTGGATGGATTGGAAATGTTTTTTTTTTACTCAAGTAACAAAAAAATAGTGTAAATAATGACCTAAATAAATTGAAAGAGTATGTCGTTTTCAAGAAAGTAAATTAGTAGAGGAGTATTTTGTTACATTTTGAATTTCTCAAAGGCCTGAGGCCAAGATAAAATATATACAATTATATGTGATTGAAAGAAAATTGTAATTTTTATTATTTGGATGGGTTTTTGGAGGGGGTCTAGGTTTCTGAAGCAGTGTGGGAAGAAAATTAAAAACAGTACAGCATTCATGATCTTTAATACAGAACTGTCTCCTTTTTATGACCTATCTTAATACACTCAACATTACATGAGATTCAAATAATTATGTCTGCTTATGTAGAGCTTTTACAGGATATTCTTAGAATGTATTTTTTCCTTTTCAGATGAACAAACTGGATAGCTGTTATATGAAAGCAGCCCCCCTCTGCATTCTGCTCTGAGTGTGATGGCGACCAATGAAGAGGTCACGATTTCGATGGCCGAGGTGGTGATGATGAAGGCTGACAGTGAAGAAGACCCGAATAAGACTCAGGTCATCCTCCAGCTCCAGCCAATCACCACTGGGTATGTATTTAATCCAGGTGTTCCTTTAATGAGGCTTTGCAAGGATCGAGACTAAAACTACAGGCCTGTCTAAATGCAGGGAGGAAGAGAGGCAAAAAAGAAATGTACGATCATCAAGAAGAGTAAACTTTGTTCTCTTTTCAGAGATGAATCTGCTGAAACAGACGCCGCTGTCATGGCCGTTGAAGCACATCCCGGTACGAGATTGTCAGATGATGTTTTGACAACTTGGAAAGAATTAGTGATGCATACTGTATATTTAGCGGATTACGACATTACAACATTTTCCTTGTGTGTTTCTCTTTCTTCTTCTTAGAACCAACTGAGGGAGAGGACGTGGAGATTGGCTGTCCGATAACGTGCGGTGACTGCAAAGCTGTGTTGCTAGTGAAGAAGTTTGTGTGCCCGGGAATCAATGTGAAATGTGTGAAGGTTGGTATTCAGGATTGTTTTGAAGTGTACAGTGTGGCTAAATGACAACTGCTGCAGGGTTTTAGTGTTTGTCCAAAAAAAGCAATTGTATTTTGAGTGAAAATGAGTGACAAGAGACATAAACACTGATACTAAAAATACCCTAACCCGTATATGGAAGAAAACTGTTACATTCGCTTGTTACAAAAGATTGCTATACATAGCTGAATGGCAACTAGGTCATTCAATAGTCCGTCCCTCTGCAGGAAATAAACATGCACTATTCTGATGTCCCACATGCAACCACTTATTTATTTCCTCTTACTTTTAACTTTTAAATTTCAAATCGCTACATGCTGATTAAATTGACAGACAATGGCCAATCTGAGATAGATCTATCACAAACAATACAAATTAATGAATGTTGGCTAATTTGCCCAACAGCCGGATGCTTCCTATGATCCAACCACAGCTGGTCAAGCTGGACATGTAGTGAACAAACCAATGAAATACTACCACATCTCATAGATAAAGTAGGAAACAATTAAAGAAATAATGAAGGTGGTTGTAAAACTCTACATTGAGGTTTTTTTTTTTTAAAAGGCAGTTTTTTCATCAATCATCAAACAGGTTTCCTAGGTCACATTATTCATGTATTGCGGTTGCCATCATTATTACATAATGTACTGCAGTAGTTTACAGTGGAGTTTGCAGCAGGGGTTGCAATTTAAGTTCCTTCTTATCTGAGGGTATCAAATATGTTTTCCCCTCTAATTTAACTTAGTTTCTGCAACAAACAACTTTAATCTGCTCAATTTATCCAAGCACCCGCACAGACACAAACACAAGGAAGAGTTCCGTTATTTCTAGGAGTTCAGCATCAGCAGCAAGCAGCTGTACATTCACATTATTAAAATGAAGCCATGAGAAGCTTCAGTTTTGATATGAACAAGGCACCTTAACCGGTGCATCTCTAAGAGGAATCTACGGACAGTGGACCTTCTCTCTCTCTCTCTCTCTCTCTGAAGCTGATGTGATTCTGCTCTCTTGGTTTTGCTGTGTCTTATCTCTCTGCAGGAGTCTAGACCAGTGGTACTCAGCCTTTTTAGACTTAAGAGCCAAATAGACCAAAATATATTTCTGCAAGAGCCACAATCAAAAAACCTTTTTCTTTCCAGAAATATGTGTGGGGAAACATAACTTGCTAAGAATAATTTCTGCTGACAATGTTTCCCTTTTTTAAATAATTACTTTGGATTTTTTTCTCTAAGTACGACATAAAAGGGCAGCAATAGTCCCAAATGAGCCACATGTGGCTCGAGAGCCTCGGGTTGAGTATCACTGGTCTAGAGGGAAGTTGTTTTTAAACGGGACTTTTGTTATGTTGCACAGAGCCGCGAGGTCCTCGCGCGCACCTGCACACTTTTGCACGCTCTCTCTCTCTCTCTCTCTCTCGCTCTCTCGTGCACGCAGCAATTTTAGGACTAAAGGAAAAATTTAATAAAAACAGGTCGGAAATATACTTGGAAATGTGTGGGAAACAGTGGTTTATGTTATTGATTACAGACATAATAACATGTGTCAACAGTCACTTACACATTATCCAATAGTTTATGGAAAGATGTATGTACAGTTCTACTTCACATTATAACTCTTAACTGTATAATTTAGTATCATGTTTTTGTAACAGCTATCACTGTGCAGATATGATGGTACGAACATTTATGCTGCTATGACACAGATGTATGAAGGCCAGCATTTTATCTTAATTGTGCTCGTGTTTTGTCAGTGTGCAGTGTGGTTATTTACCTGATATCCTCCTCCTCCTCCTTTAGTACGAGGACCAGCTGATTAGCCCGAAGCAGTTTGTCCACATTTCTGGAAAAGCCACTCTGAAGGACTGGAAGAGAGCCATCAGGATGGGCGGAGTCATGCTAAGGTAAGGAGATGTTTTTGTCAGTGAGCCGAAAGCTATATTTCAGTATTCTGTTTGACTGCACTACAGGACAGTTTAATTACAGTCTGCCTGAAAGCTTTTAAATTTTATTCAAACGGTCTCTGACACAGTGAGTGATTCATGCATCCTGAATAAACTTCCAAACTGATGGCAAATTGAAATATTGTAATATGTAATATGTAAAGGAGACGATGATGATGCCTCTTAGCTTTTCATTGAAGGTCCTATCTCTTTAAATGATGACATTTCTGAAGTGCTTTCATTTATCTTATTTGCTCAAACAAAAAATTGCCAGAACTCCGGTTAAATTATAAAACCAATCTCAGCGTTTTTAAAGGGAGCAGTGATCCTCTCCATTGCCTGCTCCACGTTCTAGAAAATGTGTGCTCAAACAGGTTGTTTGGAGATTGTCCCTTCATGACATCACAAAGGGCAGTAACCCCTCCCGCAGATGGTGACACTCCCACAGCTAGGTGTTTGTTCTGCCCTTTGAGTCTGCCTTCTCACCTTAAGCAATAAGGTATGAATCAAGAAAGCCAGAGCCACCCAAGCCCTTCCAGAGAGGGGGCGTGGTCAGACACAGCTCATTTACATTTAAAGCTACAGACACAGAAACAGCCTGTTCAGAGCAGGGCTGAAATAGAGGGTTTTTTTAGACATGATCAAATACAGGATCAGAGTGGATTTAGAACAAGAAACTTCACAGACATGTTCTGGGGAGCTCTGAGACTTATTTAAACTTGTTGAAGAGGAGGAGAATATTTGACCTTTAACTAACAGTTTGATACATTTTTGTTTTGTCTTCCAGAAAAATGATGGATTCGGGTCAGCTGGACTTCTACCAGCACAGCACACTGTGCACCAACACGTGTCGCAGCACAAAGTTTGACCTTCTGATCAACAACACACGCTTCCCTCCTGATGGCTCGGGACTGACCACACCGACGTCCTCTCAAAGTAAGTACATGGCTAAAAGGTGTGATTAAAAAAAAAAAAAAATTATATGTGTGCTTATATTTTGCCTATGTCTAGAGACTTCATGAAAATGTCCAAACATCATGACTATAATAACATTCAAAAAGGATACAATGGCAAATATTTAAAGCTATATGCACACAAAATAGGAAAAATAACCTGACCTCCAAAATACATTTGGACTGCTGGCTCCTCAAATCCCAGACACTGGAAAAGCATAATGCGTGTTCTCTCATGTATATTACAGCTCAAGTGGTTCTGGGTAATGGCGGGGCCATGGGGGAGGACAGAGCCGATGTTCTGAGCGGGAAGGTGGACTGGAGCTTGAGCTCACTGGAGTCTGCAGACAAGAAGGAATCTAACGAGATCTCAGGTTCAAAGAGAGCACACAGATCATTCATTTCACACTAATGATGACCCAGAGCACACCAGTGACTGAGACCTGTCTGTGTTGTCCCGTCCACAGAGGACACGCTGAACTTCTGGAAGGGCATTGCTGACGTGGGTTTGCTCGGTGAAGTGGTCACGAACATCAGCACAGAGCTGCAGGAGCTGTTGAACGGCGTGCAGCAGCGCAAAGAGCCAGCTGCTTTACAGGAAACCGGTGCGGTAACAACCCTAATGTGACTCGGCACACGCTTAAAGATCGGGGATGTGATTTTTCCAGATTCATTCCTGAATTCAGACCTGAAAAGTTAAACCCATGAGACTTAAATTAGCCATGAAAGTGTTTCCACACATTGACTATAGTGGGCTATATTTTCAATTGCCTTTGCTGTTTTATTTTTTTCTTGTCCTCATACAATCAACATCTTTGCTAAATAGTCTTGCTCTCTACTGCTCGAGTTCGAGTTGTGAGTAGCGTCTGAATGCTAATGGAGAAACAAAAGGAAAGAAGGAACAAATTCAGCTTTAAAAACGGCGACTGTTGGTTCCATAACAGTAGCCGAATACTGTATGAATACTAAATGATTGTTTGTTTACAACTAGCTGAATTTTTTCCTCCTTTCCAACTGACCTTGTGACCCTTTGATTGATTGCCGCACTGATCACAGATTCCTGTCTGGTAGAGGTGGCAGTGCTCAGTAACCTGGCCCAGGTGTTCGGCCTACTCGACTCGGTGAAGAAGATGCTGGAGAGGAGGAGGCAGCAGACGGATCCCTGTCAGGAGCAGATCCTCAGCATACTCAGCCGTGAGTACAGAAGACTAACAAGCTTTTACACTTCAGGAACGTCCACACTGACACACACAGCGGAATCGCCCTTTTTATATATCTAATTTTTTGGGCCTTTTTTGCCTTTTATTTGATAGGATAGCTGAAGAGAGAGGAAATGTTGGGAGGAGAGAGTTGGGGGTGACATGCAGCAAAGGGCTGAGGTCTGATTCGAACCCACAGCTGCTGCAACAACGACTATAGCCTCTATATATGGGGTGCACGACATAACCACTATCGTCACTTCTTGTTGGATATCTTTGATTGAAGTTTTTTAATATAGACTTACTAATCTTCGTTATCGTTCACTATTTAGCCAATTCCAAGTGTTGCTCACGGAGATGTGAATGCCTGGGGTGTTTTGATGAAATGCAATAAAATAGAAAATCAGGCACTGTGTCCACCTAGCGTTTTTCCCGGGCAGAAAAGCGCTGGCTGTGCATGAAGCGTCGGAAAAGAAGATGCTGGGCTCTGCGGTTTTTCTCACTCTCTCCTCTTTGAAAACAATTTAACAAAGATGCTGGCGCTCAGAAAATAAACGCTAGGTGGACGTGGTCAATTTTTTGAAAACGTTCTTTTTACATGGCATGCATTTCAGCAACACAGCTTGAAAATCTGACTCTAGGCCTTCACGAGTGGATTGAGTTATACTCTGGTTTCATTGATTAGCAGTCACTGATCAAGGGTTATTTACAGATACAGATTAAGAATGCGATGAAACAAAGTGAAAGGCTTACAATGCAGACAGATTTAGAGCCTTTACTGGTTTTAAAGGAACTTTTGTCGCTAAAAATTTACAATATTTTTACATATTTTGGAATCTAAAATACTACACTCCCAGTAAATTGCGGAACAGGCGGTAATGGCTGCAACTAAAGCTGAAGCTGATGTTACCTATCAAGAGTGTAACTTCTAAAATGCTTTTTTTTGCCGTTAACAGACTTAGATTTTTATTCAAAGTGTCTAGGATAATTATCATGGACCGTGTGAGGCCGGTAATGGCCCCTGTCACTCTGCGGTCCGGTCGTCTTGGAGTCGGGTTGTTTGGGAATGCAGCCCAAAGTGGGTGGTAAACTCTTAAATCTAAGGCTAAATACCGTATATTTAGAATGGGGCCATTATTGTCCAGGAAGTACAAAAATAAACCTTTTAGTAAATGAGAAAGATGTCCTTTTTTAAAAACTTAAAACTGTACTTTTATCTCACTGAACACAGGTCATCTACCTCGTTTAGTAAGTTTCTTTGTGATAGACAAATATTGCTGTTGATCTTAGCTAGTCCTTCTACAAACACCAAATTCACACAACAATTTCAACAATCTAACCAGACGGGCAGCAACAGTCCAGCAGCTCCTTTGTAAAGTGTATGTTACCAGAGTCTGCTAGCTTTGAAGAGAGTTATTTCTCAGTTTCAGGTTCAATAAAAACAAGTTACTTGTGTACAAAAGTTCATGCTGTAGGTTTCCTTTCTGTTACTTTGTCAAACAGCCTGACCGGAGGAAAAGACAAGCCCTTATAGTTAGTGTGTTTGTACAGCACATTTCCATGCAGGAATAATACAGCCCAGGTTAAAAAGAAAAAAAATCCCTTCTAATATCTGAACGCCTAAATGTGATTATGCCTGTTTAAGTGTTTGAGAAGTAAATAAGATGAGATGCTCAGGGAAGACAGCATGTTTTATTTAGTCATTGTTGGTCACGTTTCTGGATTTGACTTGACATCTGCTGGCCTGAGCACAATTATGACTGATGTTGAAAAACTGATATCAAAGATGCACCTTAGGACATGCACATTTATTTTTTAAAGGTACAAGCTACAAAATAAAGGTGATAATATTAATCAGTTGTTGATCTACTTAGCCCTTCCTCTCAGTACTGTGTTGTGTGCTTTGTGCAGACCTGGAGGTGCAGCTGGAAGAGCAGAGGAAGCAGCAGCAGGTGCAAGCTCTCCTGTCCTGTCCTCAGCCGGCCAAAAACAAAACTCCCACCAAGCGTCAGACCAAGCGACCTCGTCTCCAGAGGCCCGCCTCCACAACCACCCTCCTGACCTCTCCCATCAGCCAGCAGGCCACCCTGCAGCCACAGCAGTTCACCGTTCTCTCCCCCATCTCTCTGTCCTCTGTGGGTCAGCCGTTCACCATGGCCGGCCTGCCCATCGCCTCCCTGGCTCAGTCCTCTAACACAGTCACCCTGCTCCCCGCAGGCTCGCAGCTCTTCACCCGCTACATGGTGGCCGGGGACGGAAAGACGGACACTATCACCTTGCATCCATCCTCTGGCCTCACGCTGGTGGGCACCACCCCAATGCAGGACTCCAGCCAGCTGGGCACTATGGTGAGCCCCTTAGAGTTAGTGCACCTGAGCCAGCAGGCTGGGGGGGCAGAGATGGTGCCCATAGAAGGCCAAGTGGTGGACAGCACCATGCTGGTACAGCAGGAGGTGATGCAGGGCGAGGTGGAGGCTGGCCAGGAGCACACGGTCATTGAGATTAACCCAGCCCCGATGGAGCAGGCAGTGGGAGTGATGGAGCTGCAGCTAAGCGGGGAGTCAGGAGGGATGGAACCACCATGATGGTCCCGAGCGGGATGGAGGTGACGATGGCAGCAGGGGTGGAGGAGACACAGTGCCAAATGCAGGAGGCGCAGACTGAAGGGGTTCAGGGGCTGCAGCTGGATGCCAGTGGACAGTTGTCAGGTGTACAGATCGTGGTCATAGAAGAAAATACTCAGGAAGAAAACAAGGTCAAATGAGCTGTGACTCCTGTTTTACCCTGCAGAGCAGGAGTGGACTCATCCAGCTCTTGCAGACTCATGAAACTGTAAATATATAAAATCTCCAAATCCACAACTCGCCTTGGCCTCCACCAAGCACTAGGGTAGCCATTTTTTTTCTATTTTGGTGTGCGTGTGCACAAGCATCTCTTAACTCCTCGACGATTTCAATTGAAACAAAGCATCAAAACAAAGTATATACTGTATGCTTGTGTTAGATTAGTATTTAAATGATAATTCTTGTTATTACAACTCAGGTCAAAGGTTTCTTATCTTGCATTATTTCCAATTGTTACATGGTGGTCACCAAGTTTACTGCTGAGATATGAGAATGTTTTTCTAAGTAGAAGTCAGACTGGGGAAACAAACAAGTTGTCAGACATTTCAGACGAACACATCTTGAATGAAAAACATCGTTCATGAACATCCTCCGCTGTTTGAACTTCCTGCTCGCAGCCAGCTGTACAGAGATGAACATTTTAGTTGGCCTCACTTTAGTTTGAAGCAATGTTTTGGCAAACAAAAGCTTAACATGATTATCAGACTATTTTATGGTAACAGCCTTAAAGGAATGGATTTTGATTTAGCGATAAATATCTCAGCGATAAGTTAGCAAATGTGCCAGATCAAGAAACGTCCACACAACTGGTTGTTGTTTCTCATCAGTGACAGGGTTGGATCTTTATTGTAAGTGTTGGACAATATCACAGGAAGGATCCCCGCTGACATAGAACAGTTTGTTACATTTCTAACCAGTAACAGATGTTGTCCCTCCAACAAAGTCCATCGGCAAAAACAAGTATTTTACAAAACGGGACAATGAAATTTGTGTTTTGATGTCCCCTGCTTCAGTTGTTGCTGTTATTTGGTGATTTTAAGGACATGAACAAACAAACCAAATGAACAGGTAGACCAGCAGCAGCAGATTTTTTTTTTACAGTGGAGTCTGGTGTTTTTGTTTAAGAAGGGATCTATTTTTGTATGTGTCCTTTCTTTAATGTTGCTTCAGACACGATGAATAATAATATGAACTGGTCAGTGGTAAAAATACTTGTATACCACATTTGCTGTGGGCAGTGTTGTATATATAATATTCTACAGCACTAAAAACAACAATAGGAACCCCTGGTACAGCCCCATGCTCGTCCGATCATCTGGTCTTTGCTCAGTCTGACTTCAGTAAAGAGCTGCCCCCCTGATCTCAGAAACCCCCCCCTCAGTCATCCAAATCTGCAGAAACATGGCCAAATGTACACTATCGCCTGAGTTGTAATAACCTGGAGTTATCCTAAAGCCTCTATGAACAACAGTAGGACTAGAGAACAAACTGTAAAGTCAACATGCAGGGCTGTGAGGGTTCAGCAGCCGGCCGTACGTCTCAGCTCTCCGCTGCTGATCAGACTCCTTACCAGGAACAGTGTTTGTGTCACTTGAGGCTAGGATTATTGCACTGTCTGTCTGTTGTGTCGTAGCATCGCATTTACGCTGTATTGGTTTTGCACTGTGTTGTCCTGTTTGGACTACAGGAAGATGTTTGCAAAGATGCCTATTCACTCAACTTTTCTTTTCCAATTCAGTCGCGCCGTTGGGTGTGCAGAGTGTTTTCATTTCTGTGTAAAGCTAAAAAGGAAACAGACTGATCTCTTCTCACTGGAAACGCATCGCTTATGCACTTATTTTCTCAGTGGTTTCTTACTGCCTGATTCCCTCAACATTTCTTTTCTATTTTGTGGCGGTATGTTGCTTTATTTCAGTATGATAGGTCGTGTGAGCTACTGGGCTGATTGTTTAAGTCAAAACATGAAACAAAATCTATAAATGCTAAACTTGGACTGCTTGTATTTTACACGTGTAAAAAGGTGTCATATTTATTAGTTCCCAAACCCTCTCTTTCAGGTGCAAACATGGATTAATTTATGCTACTTCACACCAACAAAGACCCGTTCAAGGCTTGTGCATTTTTAAGTCATTTAATTTAACAGATGAAAGTATTTGCATACTGACTTTGTAATGTGTTTTAATATCAGATTAAAACTGAAAAAAAGTGTTTTTGTCATGACATTGTTTCACCACCAGAGTGCGCTGCATGCTCGCTCCACTACGGAGATGAGGGGTCTGCAGCTGCATGAGGAGATGGAGGAAATAGTCTGCTGCTGTTGTAATCTCTGACTTCTCTATGTGTCAGGCTTATTGCAGTATGTGGTGTAATCTGCACCGTCATGGGCTGTCCTTGATGGGCAGGCCTCTCTGGAGGCTGAGCCGTGCTGACAGGGCACCAGGGCTCGCTGGTTATTACATTTCTCTCTTCTTGTAGGCTCTAATATTCCCAGACAGGCTGCATGTGGGGGGAAAAAACATTCAGATTTGGGTTATACAAGCACAAAAAAAGCAGAAATATACTCAAACAAGAGGGGCTGAAATGGAGACCCGTGTGTAGGTGTGGAGTACAAAAGGGAAACATCCCTATATCGGGCGCTGATTGTGAAGCCGCTGGGGGCCAGGCGAGGGCTAAGAGGTGGAGAAACTGAACCACATGGGTCATTGTGTGGTGAGGGAGGAGAGGATTTGCTGTCAGAGTAAATTACAGGAAGGTTTCATACACTGTAGATTGAGTTTCCTAACATGTTTTGAGCACAAGACAAAGAAAACAGGAGCAGCAGAAGCATCGGTTACATGTCGGACATGTCCCAATGACTCCTGAGGGGATGAGAGGGTGTTGACAGGAGGGACAGCGCGGCTGACAGTCAGTCAGAATCACCTCAGCTATTGCAGGTTTAGCTGAGAATAGATGCACGAGTGTGACATTTGCTGTCAGTATATCTTAGAGGCATGTTGGTTCGGAGCTCTGTCAGAGAAAAAAACAGGCATATAAACACGTAAGCGTGTGTTCGCTTGTACTGCAAATGTACATTTTCTATTACCTTCATTTGGCTTAACAGATATCCTCTTTCAAAGTTTCAGCAAGATATTTACATTTTGTATTTGTTTGACTTCTGCGCCAAATCGTAATCTTACCTTTTTGCTTATCCTGTCATGTACATTTGTGTGTAGTATTCTTTAAAGGTAAAACAAAATCTCATCATGCTTCCCTCATGGGCTAACTTACTAATCATTGACAGATTTTGCAGGGAAATTGTAAGTAAAGGGCGTTATTACCCCTTCTCTTCTTCACTTACCCTAACCCTAACCTTAACCCTAATCGATACAAATTTATGAAAAAGGAAATGTGGGAACACAGGGCTGTGGGAACATAGGCACGCTCCTGAAGGGTTAACAGCATAAACCTGGAGACTTAGTCTTCTCATCACTACAGCTCACTGTTTTCTCTGCAGGGACTGGCCAACAATTGTCCTGACCCCCATGAACCTGCTGCCACAAATAAATCCAACAGACTGGTGAAGTCAGGCCAAACACTGATCCTGCTAATTAATGCTAACATATGGGAAAATAAATAAATAATAGCTTTTCATAGCATTGAAAAACTGGAGCTCAGACTGATGGTGTGTTCAATTGCAAGCCATGTACAACTGTTGGCTTGAAAATTCTCCAAAAGACACCAACAGTGACCGGAGGTCAAGTTCAGTGACTAAGTTACCTGGTCTGACACCAAGCTAGCAAGAAAGCTAGCAGTCAAAATGTCCACGCCTCTAATTTTGCATTACTTTAAGGCTTAATGTTATTAAAACAGATTAGTTTTATCAATATTTATCCCAATACTCTTTTTACGGACTAAAACCTGACCAAAATGTTTTGAGTTTTCATCGACTAAAACTTGACTACAAAGGAGATATTAAGATAATACAAACTAATATTTAGGTCTGAAGTCTAACAACAAGACTAAATCCAAAAAAGCTGCCAAAAATTAACTCTAGCATCATGCTAACCTTTGCTAATTCGCACAAAACCTAAATTACAGCTAAGGGTGACCATCAACCTGATTAGACCGGAACCGTCCTGTTTTCAAGTTCCCTTTCTTCGACCCACACAAGTATCTTCAAAACACTAACATGTCCCGGTTTTTAACAGTCCCTGTCCTGGTTTGCAAAACTGATTTGGCTGTATATATGCCAAGGCAACCACACTGACAGTAATGACATACGGGTTTGTATCTGCATATCGATCTCGAGGTGGCATCTGTTGTTTAGTTAGCCTAGCTTTTCATACCAATAGGACCTGCAGCATTACGATAGGTAGGCTAGCTGTTATGCCTAAAAGGAAGTCAGAGTTTTCCAAAGAGCTGCAGGAGAGTAACAGCTCTGTGTTTTGCACACATTGCAAGTCTCCATTTTCAGTCACCCACGCTGGAAATGCCAACATACAAAGCCATATTAAAACAAGCAAACACAAACTGTGAGTACTGGCTGCAAGTAGCACTGTTGGGATCTACTTTGTTGAGACAAACGCTGTGACAACCAACTTAAACAGGCTGCTCAGGAGGATATCTTTGCCCTCCATGTGTGACCAGGTTACCTATCTGCAGATTGATACATGTGGGTTCACAGTAAAAAAATCAAAGTGTCGTGATTTGAAGGTTTGAAAATATGGTCTATATATGGAGTATAAGACTCCTTTTTGACAAAGATTGTTAAGTTAAGGGATCACCACAACAAGTCATAAACAAGTTTGATCAAAGCCGAGGTTTTTGGGCCACAAAACAAAAACAATGAGCCAAAATAAGCTCTAAAATAGGCTGCGATCCGCAGAGAATCAGGATCTAAGTATAGAGTTAGATCACAATTCTCTGAAGGTTTGCTGCAACTTCAAATAACACTTAATGTTTTGATCCATATTTAATATAGGGATTATCATTAATGCAGCTTCAAGGATCAAGCTAAATGTCATATAATTTGTAGTTCAAGCTTTCCAACTAAGGTGGTTTGCTTTTGTTCTTATTCTCTTATGAAGACCAAGTGGAATATCCTTTCACTCTTTGACACAACAAACTGCTTTCTCTACATCTGTCCCTATTTCTCTAAATTTTCTACTTTAGACGATTCATTATTCAATCCATAAACCATAGTTAACAAAGTCTACAGTTTGCTACACAGTTTATTTTAGTACATTTCAGAGCAGATTTAAAACTGTTCTTATGAGTCTTAAATTCCCCGATTGTGATAGCTGAAGCTGGTGCCAGCTGATTTTATAGACTGATTTAATATTACACAACTCTTGCAGGTTTTCAAACAAATATTTAGACAGCAGTTCATCAATCTCCAGGTGCATGGCCAGAGGGGTGACAAGGTGTGGCATGGGCCCCCTTTAAATCTGCGTTGCCATCCCAAAATCCAAATCTATGATTGGCTATTTGCATAATCAGGTCAACTATTCTGGCTGTTTTCAACAGGCTAGTACTTCCAGTTGTAAGTAAATACATAGTTTTAGTCTTTCTACAGGAAGGAAAACTTCTCTCAGTCAGTAAGTCAGTTACTTTTTGATAGTAGTTACTAGTAACTGTAACTATTTTCAGGAACGTGCCCAACAACGGATTATCTTGAAGCATGTTCCCTGCTTAAGTCAAAATATTGAAAATTAAATTAGAACAAATACATTTATTTGAAAAGGGACTACACTAAGTAATATTCAAACTACAATCAGAGAAGCTGAGCTGTTGGTGGGCTCCTAATCCAACCTACTGTATCATCCAAAACACTCCACTCAGTCCTGCTTGAAGGGATTTCTGGCTCAGACGACTGTTGTGTTTACAGCTCAGACAAAGAGGACTGTCGACCTTGTCTGATTTTTCTTTTCCGGGCAAACTGAAAATGTGAGGAGGACTAATAAAACTCTGGCAGCCTGTGCCACCATGTGCCCCTCCATTTCCTCCCTCTGCCAGCCATGTTGGCGCTCGCCAGCAGCAGAAGGTGCAACTCCCCTTCATGGGCTTTGACAAGCAGACGAGGAGGAGAGGAGAGGAGGGCCCCAGTGAGCGATGACGGGAGCCCGGCTGATGGACAGAGGTGTTAACCCCATCGTCGGGCAGGGGGGAGATAGCAGCGCTCTTGTTTACACACACTGAGGCCCGATTGTCACCTTGTCTGTCAGGGAAACATCCTATCTCCTGCCTCTTATCTTACAGAGAGACAGCCAGCTACTCTGCTGGAGAGACCTACTGCAGCTCCACATCATCATAAATCATTTTCCTCAGCTATACCTTTCTTGATTTTCATGTTATTTTCCTCTTCACTTCTCCAGGTACTCCTCTCTTCTTTAAATAACTTCTCACTCATACACACTTTGCAAACTCTCCAGTATTGGCAGACAATGACCCTTTGCACCAGTACGCCCGGGTGGCACTGAAGTGTTTAAATTTTCCAAAAAAGGGCTTTGTGAGATGAAAACTCACCATGACAACCAATTCTTTTTGTCCTTTGTGTCCTTACTGTGCAGCCTATTCATTAAACAATGTTATTATAAGTAATTTTTCTGCAGATTGATAATGTTTCAGAAGTATTTAGCCTAATTTAATGTTACAACCTCGCACCCAGCATTCTTACATCAGCAAGGCTCCGAAGGACACTGATCACTCAAATATAAAAAGGGGCTTTTGTTTGAAGATAAACACATGCAGGTATGTGTGAGCGTCAACTTGAACTGTCGGGGAAGAGCATCAGGATCCAAAAAAAATGCACCAGGCCGGTTAAAATGGATTAAAATCAAGCTCTGCAGGAAGGCATAAATGAAGCAAACACTGCACAGGAAGACTTTAAAGAGCCTGAGGACATAAGGAGGCAGTGTGGACGTGCTGTTGTGGGGATGGACAGTTATTCTGGATATAGATTTCAAGGACTGAGGGGGCGACAGCAGTAGAGAGAGGACATGAGAGGAGTCCCAGGAGCTAAAATTTTTCACAAATTGATGATTGCTATTGTAGGAGACCTAAGTGGAGTGCAAATTGATGAGCAGCGAAGATGAGGATTTTGAAAAGCTCATCCATCTCTTATTTTCTCGTTAGAATGAAGGAGATAAATGTCATCAACTGCAGAGTGGGACTTCTTATTTAAAATTATAAGACCAATTTTTTGAGTAGCGGGGCTTCAGACAGATTA